GCAGGAGTCCAGCTCCCATCACCTATCACAATGTTGGCTGAGGCTAATGAGAGCTGTAGTCCATTAACATCTACAGGTTCTTGGGAGTTGATCTAGCTTCAGCAGAAGAAGAGATAGGGAGCAAATCCCCTTCATCTACACAACTGGAGAACATAGGAACATAACAAAAGCCGTACTGGATCAGAATGCTGGATCCAGCATTCTGTACACATGATGGCAAACCAGCTGCCCACAGGATTGCTCAAGCAGGATGGATGCAAGATGTTCATCTGCCCAAGCTCCTCAACAAATGGTGCATGAAGGCAAGTTACCTCTGGTTAAGGAGGTAGCACATAGCCAGTGATATTAGTAGTCACAGATAGCCCCTTCCCTCATGAATTCCTCCAGTCCCTTTCAAAGCCATCCGGATTGGTGGCCTTCACCACTTCCTATGGCAGCGAATTCCATAGTTTCACTACACTTAAGTTATATGAAGAAGTACTTCTTTTTATCCATCCTAAACCTCTCATCATGACCCCTAGGTTCAAGAGTTACAGATAAGGAAGAAAAATGTCTCCTCCTCTACTTTTTCCATACCATGCATTATTTTAAACACCTCTATCATGTCTCCTCTCACTCACCCTTTTCTAAACTGAACAGTCCCAGTTGTAGCTGCTCCTCACAGGGGAGTTCCTCCAGCCCCCTGTTCCGTTCATTCCGTTCCCGATAATAATGTCCTTTCTCAGGTAAGGCCACCAGAACTGAACACAATATTTTAAGTGTGGTCATATCAAAGATTTATACAAGGAAGTAAGATTTCAGCAACTCTATTTTTTACTCGATTCCTAATTATTCCTAGCATGGAGTTTGCCTTTTTCACAGTACATGTGCATCCACCAGGACCCCCAAAACTCTTTCTTGCTTAGTTACTATTAGTTCAGCTCACGTCAGGGTAACTTGTAGCTAAGATTTTTTAAGATCCAATGTGCATTATTTTATACTTAGTTATACTGAACTGCATTTGCCATAGTGATACCCATTCTCCCAGCTTGGAGAGATCCTTTTGGATTTCCTCACAATCCCTTTTGGTTTTAACTACACTAAAATAGTTTAGTGTCACCAGCACTAATTCCAGTTTTTTATGAATAGGTAGAAAAGCATTGGTCTTGATAAAGAATCCTGTGGGACTCCACTGGTTACATCTTTCCATTGTGTCAGTGTCCAGGGCGAGGGCGGCTGACAGGGTAAAGGCACCGGGACCCAGGCAGACTGGGCATGACAAGTCCAATACACAGTCCAAAAGGTCAATCCAGAAGTCAATATACGAGCCAAGTCCGTACAGACAGGTAGTGTAGTTCAGGGCAGGCCGAGGGTGGGACCACCGAGGAAGGCAGACCAGTCAGGGAGAGAAGAGGTACAAATGGGGGTCACAGGAAGCAGGAGCAGAGTTCCAAGTCTAGCAGACCAGGAGGGCTTCACCAATGTCAGGAGACCTTCATTGCTGAGAGAGCTTCTGAGGGGAAGAGCTGGTTCTTATATAGCTTTTCCCCAGGGCTCCCCAGGTGGAACTCATGAGAGCCCTGGCAGCTGCAGTGGACTGAGGTCAGAATCCTGCAACCACCAGAACTGCTCCTCTGGCCCTTGGACAGTAGAGGGAGCCCTAGAGCTGCCTCAGAACCTCACACACTGGGAAAAAATGCCATTTATTCTCACCGTCTGTCTTCTGTATTTTAACCAGTTAATGATCCATAAGAGAACTTCCCCTTTTATTCCATGACTGCTTAGTTTGCTCAAAAGCCTTTGGTGAGGGACTCTGTCAAAGTCCTTTTGGAAGCCCAAGTAAACAATGTCTTACTGACACTCTCAAAGAGCTCCAGTAGGTTAGTGAAATAGGACTTCCCCTGCAAAAGTTGTGCTCATTTTTTCTCAGCAGGACTTATTATTCTTCATGGTCTCTGTACATCACACATGTGGGCTCTTCTTGCATGCATGTAGTTGTTTTCAGGAAGCTTCCAAAGCTGATTAATTAGTATTTGATGGGAGCCCAGCCTCCAACACACCTAGCATGAAGGTGGGGCTCCCACAGAGACCTCACTTCTTCTTTGACCACCATTATGAGCACAGCAGGAGGTTCCTCCTCCAACCTACCTTGCAAATTTGCTCATCTTCGATGACTCTAAACCTCCAGGTTTTCCCTTGTAATTATCTTCTTGCTAGAAGCAAAAAAAAAAAAAAAAACCCAAGACAAAACCCCCTAAAACTTTCAACTATGGGAGTGCACAGTGAAAAAAATCTTCCGGTGTTAGTTCCCTATACCGCTTCTCACCTCATTGAACAGACAAGATGGCACTGAAGGCCCCAGAGTTCTTTGCTAACTCTACTATACATATCATCTGGACTGGGTGACTTGTTAACTTGCAGTTTGTCAACAGAGTCGAGAATTTCAGCTTTTGTCACTACTCTCTGCCTTAATTCCTCAAGTCCCTATCAGAATAGATAAACTTAGGGACAGGTATCTGCTCTTCATTCTCTGCTGTGAAGACTAATGGAAAAAAAAATCGTTCAGCTTCTCTGCAGTCTCTTCATACCGTCTCAGTGCTCCTTTAATTCCATTAATTATCCAAGCTTCCTAAATGGTTTCCTTGCTTCTCTGAAAGATCAGCTGCTCCGGTGATCAGCTGCTATTAGTTTCCTTCAGTTCCTTAATGGGTCCCATGAAAGCAGAACAATAGAAGAACTTTGTAAGAACTAGTCCTTGAGGTTGCTCATTTTCCTATTCATCCCTGTTTCTTTTTGTGTCATATCTTTATATACTCAGCCTGAGGGCACAGCCTGTCTTGTTTGGTACAAAACTTGTATAACCCACTTTGGCAGCTTTTAAAGCTCTAATTGAGGTAAAAATGTTGCAAATGAAGTAAGCCATCCCAAGATGTTTATAGGAATGGGATAGAAAAGCCTTTAATTAATTAATTAATTAATTACTATAGTCATAGACCACAGTTTTGATATGCAACAATTAAAGATTTTTTTTAAAGGTCCAAGATACTTTTTTCCTAATTTGCATTGCAGTGAAAAAGAAATTTATACCCCTCTCAGTATTACTGGATAAATCATCCCTTAGGCAGGACATAACCATGTTTTTACAAAATCTTACTGGAAGAGTTCACAGTAGAGGGAGAATCAGCCTCTTACTGTAGTCCCTTTGCAAATTTCAGTACAAAAGGATGTGGTCAACAGGGTCTATTGCTCCAAATCCATACAAACATGTTTTTTAATTGGGATCTTGTTAAATATATGCTTAATGCTGCAGAGGGCAACATACTGAAGCGAGCAAGAATAAATTCTTGTCTGTATTTGGTAATAGTTACTCTATGCAGTATGCGGAGCACCAAAGAATTGAGACCTTTGAATTCTGGTGCTGGAGAAGACTCCTGCGAGTTCCTTGGACTGCAAGGAGATCAAACCGGTTAGTCTTAGAGGAGATCAACCCCGACTGCTCTTTAGAAGGCCAGATACTGAAGATGAAACTCAAATACTTTGGCCACCTAATGAGAAGGAAGAACTCACTGGAGAAGACCCTAATGCTGGGAACGATTGAGGGCAAAAGGAGAAGGGGACAGCAGAGAATGGCTAGATGGAGTCACTAAAGCAGTTGGTTTGAGCTTAAGTGGACTCCGGGGAATGGTGGAGGACAGGAAAGTCAGGAGAAATGTTGTCCATGGAGTTGCAATGGGTCAGACGCAACAGTCGCAACTAGCAACAACAAACAACAACTCTGTGCAGATATGAAGCTCAAAAAATTCCATATTTTAGATCACTGAAAATAGCGGGGGAGGGGGGAATGAATGAATTAAAGTTTGTGCAGCTTATGCAGACCAATTGTTCCTCAGGATCCTATGTTGAGATAGTCTTACTAAGTGCCAATTTTCTTCTAAGTTTACTGCATAGCATGAACACTCAAAGCAGCAATTACACATTAAGGAAAAAGAACTCTTTTTATTCTGTATACTTTAGAGCCCCAGCAAAAGTGACCATAGTCGATGGGGCTGACTGATGGGAGCTGTAGGTCTTAGAGGATCACAGATTGCCCCTTTCTGCCTTACAGGTTTAGGAATGTTTAGTTGCTCTAATTAGCTCCAGAAGGAGAAAAAGAAACTTCAAGACCTAGTCTCTTGGATGAAAAATTTACACATAATATTTAATGTACTTTAGCTTTTACCTTGCTGATCTCCCATGGGCAGTTATAAGAATAGCATGCATATTGAATATTTAAGTTCTAACGTTGAGATACTTTTGAAATAGAGAGGCTGCCAAGATGATAGATATGATTAATGTGCTTGAGCTAGAAATCCAAGTTCACATTCCAGTATACTCATGGGCCAGAAGAGCAATCATGGACAAACCAGCCTCAGATTCTCAACTGTAGTGTAACAAATTATTGACCAACCTCACAAAGCTGTCAGGATTAATAAAATAAGGATACTAAGATTCACTCTACTTTCCTTTTTAATTTTTTTCAGACTTAAGTCTGATTAGTCTTCTCCAAGAACAAACCTGGGTAGTTGAGTACTAGCAGGAGTGTAGCCAAACTGGGGCCACTGAGCTATAAGAGAAGTGCCATTATACTCAGTAAGCTCTGAGGAATAGAGATACACAAAACCTTGTTCTGAAAAACACAGGGGACAATTCCTCCCCCCACCCCAAAATAAAAATCCTGCCAAATGAGAACTGGGTATGTTCAGTGGTCTCCCGAAGTCATGACTAGGTAAAGAAAAACAGAGGACCTGCGTCTGGACAGAAGAGTGACTGAAGGCCTGAAAATGGGCACTTCTGTTAGAGGGTAAGGATGCATTGCAACACTGAGTGCATATATGAGTGCAGACAGAACAGGTTTCATGTACTATTGAAATAATTGTGAGAGTGTCATTCAGGATATAAATTAATGTGTGTGTTCTAATAACAATGACTGAGATAACGACATGCTTATGAATTACATGATGAACTCTTAACTTTTTTTTCAGCCTAGCCCTGCACCCGGATAAAACCCTAGTTGCTACAGGGCAGGTTGGAAAGGACCCTTACATTTGCATCTGGGATACCTACAATGTACAGACTGTTTCTATTTTGAAGGATGCACATACCCATGGAGTTGCATGTTTGGCTTTCGATTCGGATGGCCAGGTGTGTATATATATATATATATATATATCAAGTTTTTATTTCTGTTGTAAACAAATCACACACTGCACTCGCAAAAGTGTGTGTGGGAGCAGTCACCACCTATGGAATGGTGTTTTCGTGTAGCATTTTGCTACATGTTAAAAGACCACCAAGAATACAGCTCTGCAATTGTATGTCTAGGTCAGGCATTTCTAGCAAGACCTAGAAGGAGATGCTGTGGGCCATGTGTCCAGTTTGTGGGTTTCCTGTGAGCAGCTGGAAGCCAGCTTGCTATCTATAACAATTCCAAGATCCCTCTTGCTTGTAGTATTGCAACACCCCACTTGTTACCTCTCCCGAGTTTGAGAAGGTGCCATTGATGAGCATTCTTTGAGTTTGATTCTGTAACCAGTTCCATCTAGCCCACTTTGAGCTTGTTGGCTAATCAGGTTATCATGGGGCACATAAAATGCAATTAGTGTTGACACCCTGCTATTTAGGCTGAGAAAACTTTCAGGAAAGCAGGAAAGAAGGACAAAGTTCCTGAGTGGGCCTGGGCAAATTTTGTGTTAAAGAGGAAGTTTCTTTATTCTTTATTCTTTCTTTATTTACCAGCTGCAATTCTGCTGGCAGCTACTTACTTTGCTTGGCATTAAGCAAATGTTCCTTTTTATATAACTGTGAAGGCGGTTGGTAACATTGATCCAAGTGGGCTTCTTAGTTCTCATCTCTTGTCATACACAGGCCCATAGTAGAAAAATTAGAAGCTAATTCAATTAATTTGCTTGTAAATGTATCACTCTGCAGAGATACTAGACGACCAACAGCATTAGATAATGGCAATTGTTCTCTGTAGTAAGCTTTATGGTTAACTTAAGGACAGGTATGTGCTTTTTTCCATTAGAAAAGTTTGGCAGAAATCTAGACTGAGCCAAAGCAGCCCTTTCCCAATTTCCTAACTGCAGTGATACAGCTGTAAATGGAGCACACTTCTATAGATTTCTGGGATTGGGCAGAGAGAGAGATTTTATCAAAATCTTTTATCAAAAAAGATGAGGGTGAAGGTTTTGAATTTGCCTTACTTAACCTCCATTTCCCTCCCCCACATCCTTCCTTTTTAACTTTTTTCTTTTTAAAGCTAAAAGGCACTTTGTAGGTTCCTGTGAGCCACACTTCCCAGAATGCTATGGGAGCAATGGGATGTGCCATGATCTTCCTCCCAAGACATTCTAGCAAGGGCTGCTGGTAGGAATCATAAAGAGAGCCTTGTGGACCTATGTATGCTGAAAGCCCTTTGAAAGAGTTCATAAATGGAAAAGAAAAAGGGAACACCTTAACTCACCTTGAAAAGTAAATAGCAGAACCCCATTTGGCAAAACCAAATTCAAACAATTGTATTTACCTATAATCTTTTGAATAAGGAATTTTGCCCTCATTCATTGTACAAATAGGTTTAAAAATGGTTTTTGGCCCAGACTTAGCCAGAATGCCAGGAAATAACTCCTGCCACCTTTAATAGTATATTTAAACTTCATATTAAAGCTTCTTCCATTACATCAGAAAATTCTGGAGATTTTGGAGAATAGTTAGCTCCTTCAAATTGCTATTCCTAAAATACTTTGCAGGGTCATCACACTTTAACTGGTACAAAATCTGGTGCATTTGTCTTTAAGCTAGTAAAATTAGTTACCATTCAGATTGTTTAATTAAGGACTATTGAAAACAATGAGGTACAATTCCATTTCCTGAACTGTGTGGAGGTTATTTATTTTCTTTCTATGGTAAGAGTAGTCAAGATAATATTTTATTCACCCTACAAATGTATGATGGTCTATGCCTGTTGTTCCCTGACAGACAATAGTTCTAGTGTATAATAAAAGGAGTATAAGACAGAATGCCTTGATATGAATACTGCATGTATAAAGCATATATGTGGTTTCTTTACAACTCAGGATTTTACACTAGTCCAGGGAGAAGGTGACCTTATAGAGTTTAGATTAAAAATTTTTAATCTAACATTAAAGGGGAATCTAACACTTCTGGGGGAGGGAATAAAAAGGGAACACAAATGAATTTTAAATACAGGTATGAAAAATATGCTAGAATTTCTACCAAGGTACTATATAGAACTGTGCTTATTCACTGTTTTGTTCCCATAAGTTTTAGTTAACAGGGATACAGTGGCCCACTTTGCATGAAACAACATCCCACCATGGCTTAATTTCCCCATAAGAACAGTTGCATCATGCCAGTCACCCTAGGCGCAAATTTTGCGTGACTTCCATGTGTGCCTGACTTGCTTTAGTTTGTCGTGTCATGTAAACCTAGGCAGCAGTGGGGGATTTTGTGGGTTAGACAGTCAATCACCCTGGCTTGTTTTAGGGTTGTTTGAAGTTTGTCTGACCCTAAAACAACCAGTGCCACCTGAGTTTATACAGTATCACAGACCATGGCAAACTGGACACTATGCCAGAATGGCACTTGCAGACATGCAGCACAGAGCAACAGCCCGTTGCAGCTAAATTTGGCCATTGTGAGCTATTGCGCCATGTGAACCACCCAGAGAGCATCAGCAATGGGCAGTATAGAAATGAAATTTATTAATAATACTAATCATCAGCTAGAGATCTAGTGCTATAGATATTTTCCATTAAACCAGAAAAGCCCATTCTCATGGGGGAAAAAAGATTGTATCTTACAGAAAGACATCAGCTCAATGTTATAGCACAAAGATTACATGAAAAAAGTTCCAGGTTCAGTTCTTGGCATCTCCAAGCAAGGTTGAGAAGGAGTCACCTCTGAATCCTTGGAGAGCTACTGACAATCCATGTCAGCAATATTGGGCTAAATCAACTAATGGTCTGCCTGGCACATTAACAAAAAGTCATGTTCTAATTAATCATGGTTTGCTGAATTGTGCTTAGTTGTTAATGTGCAAACCTAGAACTAAGGATATGCTATGTGTTAGCCACAAGCAACATACAAAGCATGTTTTGTGCTTTGTTTAAATGATGGGTTGTCATGATCTGAGAACCCAGAATTATGTCTTGTTCATGGGTTGTTTTACCAGGTTACAGGGGTATTGGTTAAAAGCAGTAAAAGCAACTACCCCCCCCCCCGCCATCTCTTTACATACTGCAGGACTGCTAAGGCATTTGAGAAAAAGCGAGGGAGCAGATGAAGGAGGATGGAAGCAACTCAGGGACTGAGAAAGCAAGCTATGTTTTTTTCAATCTCATGGCAGATGCTGGTTTAAATAAACTGTGGGTTAGCTGGGTATCATAGCTTTCTATATACTATCAGAAATGCAATATTATTTGGTGGCATTAGTGCACCCATTCACCTGCCATTTAGAAAATGAAGGTCATTTGATTTCTCCATAGAAATTCAGAATGAGAATTTTGGGTCAGTTTTAAAATGATTTATATAGTTGTGAGAAAGGTAGCATGTCTATCACCATTTGCTACCTTAGGGAAAACTCCTATATATTTGGTTTTATGGCCTCTTATGGACTTAATCATTGCACAAGTTATAAATTACCATGTAATTCCTGTAAAATGTGAACATATTGTAAGGTGTTTCTGAATTTTACACTGATGAACCTTAAATCTTATATTCTGAAACATGCTAAAGTGTTTTTATAAACTTTTGTGGAAATAGTAGAGTTGTGAGCATTGTGACCATTTATGCTAACATTTGATTTCTTCCTTGTATTTTTAACATCCTTTGTACACTTGTTTTCTGATGTAAAAAGTTATGCCTGGGTTTATCCATATTTAACAAGGATATTTTTGTGCTTTTTCTTCAAGCGTTTAGCTTCAGTGGGACTAGATGCCAAAAATACAGTCTGCATTTGGGACTGGAGGAAAGGAAAGCTACTGGCATCAGCTACTGGCCACTCAGATAGGGTAATTAGTTAATGAGTTTACTGTAATTTTTCATGTCATGCTCTGAAATAATTTATGTATTCTCTTTCGGGTTTCTGGTGCACTTATCTAAATTTTTGTATTAAGGTAATGCTCACAAAAATAGATAATTGTAATTAGTTTGTAAAATAACTGTGGGAATCTTTGTGTTTGATATAATGGAAGGGCAGCATACCTCAGCATATTTTCTTGGCTTAAAAACAGACAGAGTTTGCTAATTTGATGAGAGAAGGGACTCTGGCAGAGGGAAATATGTATCTCCTCTGCCAGAGTCCCTGGGACTTATAGCAACTTTGACGGGGTAAGTGCAACTTTGGTTGAATAAATGGAAATAGGGAGAGCACCCCTATTCCCTGCCCAGAACCTTTTTCCTTATACTTGCCACTACTTTGAACTAGAACAAAACAAAGCAGTAATAATAGACACTGGAAATCTCCCAGTGTCCATATGATTTGTTACTAAACTGTTCTCAAATAACATGTCTGTAAAAGTTTAACTGGTGGAATAACTCTGCCCAAAAATAATGATCAAACTAATTTGCATTTATTTATGTGGGCATTCTTCCCTTCAATGTTTGTTTCTTAGATTGTTTATCTGGAGCAGTGGTGCTTAAACTGTGTTCTGGGGAGCAGTGGGATTCTTTCAAAACTTATTAAGGTTACCCAATGGCATGATCATTAATGATAGACAAAACTTTCCTGATTGTTTGTCTACTGCTGCCAGTTTTCCTCAATATGTTTACAAAAATATGTAATAAGCTACAAAAATATGTTTATTTTCTGTTTATACCTTATCTTTCTACTAAATAATAATGGCATCCAAAATGGCATTCAGCATGTTGGGTAGAGCCAGCTCCAAGTCTGAGGGGCAAAGTGCCCTCTGGGGGCTCTCCTGTGCCATTGGACCTGGTAGTGGTGGCTACATTTGGGGAAATAAAAGTGGTGACTTCAGGCTAGCTGAACAGGAGAAGCAGAGCAGGTTATAGTGCAGTGGTGGTTCCTAGAGACCCCAGCAATTGCTGAAGAATGGCATGTACTGATGCCAGGCATGTATTGGATACTATCCACAGCCAGAATAGCTTGTGCAAAGCAAGAATTTTTGGTATTTTTGAATCTAATTCATATCATTTTTCCCAGTTCCAGAGTTCACAATTTTTCAGAATACAGAATTTGAGGCAGGGATTTTGGATGTGGGAGAGTCAGAGGAATTGAACTCAAATGGAGCACACTGCTGGTAATAAGCATATAGGAAGAGGACTACTAGTAGTATAAGTAGGTTGTGCCTAATCTAACAAACGGCTTGACCTTTTGTACTGGACTGTTGGTGTTAATTTTGCCATTGCTTATATAAATCCTTTCCAGTACTGAGGAAGAATTGCATTTTTTTATCCATCTGAAACCTGAGGTGTATTCACATAGACTTTATCAGACTTTGTTCAAATGAGGATAATGTATATTGGATGTAGGGCATTTCTGAGATTTGATACATGTGGTTTCTAATTTAGTGTAGCAGTTTTTAATATTTTTGGCAGATTTTTGATATTTCCTGGGATCCATATCAACCCAACAGAGTGGCTAGCTGTGGTGTGAAACATATCAAGGTAATTGGTTTTGATGCTTTGCATTACCATAGAACTCTTTCTAATTTCCTAGTATATTTTCTTTTACTAACTTTGTTGTTTTTGAATCTGTAAATGTTATGCAGCCAAACAAAAGGCAATATGGCAAACTTTGAGTGCTTTGCAATCTTTATTTATTTATTAGATTTCTATACTACCCAGTAGCCAAAGTTCTTTGGGCAGTTTTACAGTATGCAGTGATTATGGTGAAGGACTGCTTATCAAATTACACATAGTGTAATTTTAAAATACCTATTTCCAGTGTAGTTTTTGCTCTCCATTTAACCTATGATACCTTGACTTAGAATAAAGACCTGAATTGACAGTTTAAATAATCATCAGATGACGAAGTCTGTAAGTAATCACCAGATCCAGACCCAGTTGCAGTCACCAAATTTAATCACATTTTCCATTTGTACTTCATTTTTTCAAATGACACATTTTCATCAACTGCTTTTCCCAGTTCAACATTTTCATTTTCAGCTAAATTAGGCATCATTCTGCATATTTGATTTCAGGCTAGTACTTGTATATGTTATTATGCACATACATTTAGTCAGTTATTTAGCTTAATTTGTTTTCAGGTCTTACCAGTTAGACATAAAGGAAATATGATGGTGATAAATTTGCCTAAAGTGTTTTTCCATGACTGAAGTTTTGGGTGATAAGACGTCAAGAAGAAGCATTGTCATATAGGGATGATTAGATTTGGAAGTGCAGTAGAGTGCTGCTGACCTCTTTAATTTGGGCAGTGGGATACTTCAGTCTGCTCTAATTCCTGCTAGGTTACTGATTGATAGGGACTATCAGAGCATTTATCTACATTTTAGCCTGAAATAAATGCAGTGCTAAACTATGATTTATCATTACGTGAGTGAGCCTTAGGCTCACAATCTCCCACCCTCTTCAGCACAGTCACAAGGAGGGGACTAGAAACTTTCACTTCTATTTACAGTTAACCACTATTTAACATTACATGTGAAACCCAGCCCAGAGATGTGCAGAAGATAGATCTCCAGATAATTTGGACCAATTCCTAGAAGGCCCCATTAGCATGGCCAGTGGTCAGGAATACTGCAAATAGAACTCCCAAATATCAGGAGGTCTGCTTTCAGCCCGCTAAACTGTGGTTGATTTGAACTATGATTAGTGAAAACAACTAGCTTCATAATTTTAAAAGTTCTTGATTTGTAAGTCCTGGATTACAAAAAACTGAAGTCCCATGCTTTCCTAGAATTCTCTGAAGTTATTTTGGTCCTGATATTTGGGAGCAAGTTGTCTCATAGTTACTTTTTCTTAATTAAGTGGGCACAAATACATGGATAATTTCTTCTACCAAGCCTCTTGCACATCTAATCTGGCACTGTGTTCATATCAGAGGTGGGACTTGGTAAAAGATATGCCACTTGATGTACCCTGCAAGAAACTTAACACCTGTTTTTCTTGGCACTTTGGATCTGTAAAACTGCCCTGATTAACCCAAGCAATTGTCACTAAAGCCAAATACATTGCTAAAAACGAAGTCATGCCAAAAATTAGCTTACCATGGTTAAGCACTGGAAAACAATCAGTGCTCCAGTCTGCTAGAGATAGACATAAATTGTTTTTTTAATCCCTGTGTTATTGGAAGTGCTGTATCATGAAGAATTACCATTACTTTCTCGAGAAGGAGAAATTTCTAAAACTGGAAACTGAAATTGTTTTTGTGTTTCTCCTCCAAGTGAACTATTCATTTGAATAGCATGTTGAATCCTATGTGTGTTTATCTGAGAATAAGGCCCACTAGCCTGGTTTGGACATAACACTAAAGAATCATTTGTTTAGCTTAACTCCACTTTGTTTGTATGTCTGAACCCAAGCAGGATCACTAATCATAATTTAAGGCAATTAACCAAGTGTCATAAAACCATGATTTGAAATTGGTTTATGGATTAAGGCTTGTAGTTGTTACATCTGAACTTAGTATCCTAATTTAATTCTGGTTTGTTATATCACTCATGAAACGTCTCAAGTTGCTAAGGGAATCTGGCTAGATTTTCTCAGGCCTCTCTGCCTGGCAATAGGATCCTTTCCCAGTCACCTTTTCACTGACCTGCTTTTCCCTTGCCAACCAAGCTCACTAGATCTAGAGAAGCCTTGCCTGTGGATTTTTTTAACAGTATAGTGAGTGCTTTTATCTATATTCAAGGAGGGATGTATCTGAAAAGCACTCCTTTGTTCTTAGCAAACTATACCAACAGTTCAGCAGATGTAATTTCAGTTTTCCCTAAGAAGACTTACCCAGTGTTCCCTGTTTCTTGCTAAATTCTGTTTCTATGACAATTCATCCACCCTCGTTTTTATTCCGTGGATCCAAGTTATTACTAAGGCTTCTCTTCTGAGTGTTCATCAGTAAAGTTTTAGTATTGGGGTGGGACGGGGGAACAACAAACACCTGATTCTTTACTGAAACTTTTGTTCAGGTAGTTTAGTGGGAAATTAATTTTGCCTGTATCTAGGTCATCTAATAGTAAAGGTGGGTTACAGAGACAGAGAAAAACAAAAATAACTGTAAAAAAAAGATAAAACGAAAGGCAAAAGTTACCACACAACAATGACTGCAAGTGTATCACTTATAAGCAGAAATCCAACAAATAAAAATATGCAGCACTATACCCATTTAAAAAAGAGAACAATCTATATACTAAAACAGTGTTAGAACTACTATCACCTGGTTCAGACACCATGATAACTAACACTTAGAGGTTGAGTATATATTGTGTGTGGGTTATTGTTGAACTGTAGATTGTTGAAACATGAGTTAACATGTCTGAACCCTGCTGTGCTAACAAGCCATTTATTATTTTATTTATTTATTTAGAAAATTTCTATGCCGCCCCATTCACCAAAGCCTCGGGGCGGCTCACAAATAAATCAATTAAAATACTATAAATTAACAATATAAAACAAGTTAACAATATAAAATAAGTCGCCCTGGCCAAAGAATAAAATAAATAAATTCTATTAACAGTTAAAATGACATTTGAATAAAAAGGTCTTTGCCTGGCGCCGAAAAACAAATAACGACGGCGCCAGGCAGACCTCTCTGGGGAGCGCATTCCAAAAATTGGGCGCCACCGCAGAGAAAGCCCTCCTCCGAGTACTTACCCTCCTAATTTCCTTCACGAAGGGTTCCCGGAGAAGGGCCTCTCCCACTGATCTCAGGGGGTGGGTGGGCATGTATGGACGTAAGCGCTGCTTCAGGTAACCAGGACCCAAGCTGTTTAGGGCCTTATAGGTCATCATCAACACCTTGAATTGGGCCCGGACTTCAGTGGGAAGCCAGTGAAGCTGACGGAGGACTGGAGTCATGTGAACATAACGCCCAGTCCCCATCAGCATCCTGGCAGCTCTATTTTGAACCAATTGAAGTATCCGGACTGTCTTCAAGTGTAGCCCCACATAGAGCGTGTTACAGAAGTGATTTACAGAAGCCATGGCTTGTAAATCAAAGACAACCATTGAAGAGAACCCATGGTTTCCTTCTAGATTGTAACCTATTAATTTCCTATTATTCAGCTATTGAATGGTGGGCATTCCTCCATGTATATACTTCCATCCCATATGTTTATAAAAATCATTCAAAAGTCATGTAAGTGTAACCCTGCCAACTTGCTAAAACAAGTCATAAATTAATTCAGGTATTTTAGCATGTTAAGTTTTAAAATCATAAAGTTCTTCAAGTGAGAAATCAGCCAGTTCAAATATTTGAACATATATTTTATCAGAAATGTATAAAGCAAAAACTTTGCAATATGTACTAAATAGCAGTACAATTCCAGTTTCCTAAGTACCTCTCCAAGAAAGCACACTGCACACAAAATAGCAAGGCAGTGTGTGATATCCGCCAGAGCAACTAAGTAAGAAACCTGCACAAAGTGTTTTAGGAGTCCTACAGATGTTGTGTTCAAAACAGCTTTGCTAGGGTTATATGTACAAGGCTGTCTTTAACATTTACTCAAGTAGAGACATGTGAAATACAGTATGAGTCATAAAGCAATTGAGCTGAAGAGAATACCAAAATATTGTCATTTATCCCTAATTTTCATACAGATTTGATTGCTGTTGTTTCCTGTTCCTGCTTTGCTTTAAAACCAAATTTAAATGATTTTTAAAATCTCTGCTACTTGATTGCATGCTGTTTTGCTTTGATCAATAAGGCTGCTCTGATAATTCATTGAAAGCAGAAATATAAGCATCCCAGTTAAAAGTAAATAAAAGGCATTTATACACACCATGAAGCAAGTCAAATTAGTTTAGTCTTTCTACATTGTTTTCAAGCAGCAACCTGGAGCTATGTTTTACCTTTGCAAAGGCCTCAGATAATTAATGCTACAAATACCTACTTCATTGTTTCATTCTGTAGTTTTGGACGCTGTGCGGAAATGCCTTGACAGCCAAAAGAGGAATATTTGGCAAAACAGGAGACCTTCAAACCATCCTTTGTCTGTCTTGTGCAAAAGATGATGTTACATACTCTGGTGCTTTAAATGGAGACATCTATGTCTGGAAAGGGCTTATTTTAGTCCGCACAATTCAAGGAGCTCATGGTGTAAGTTGATTTCTCAAATGCTGCTTTATGAAAGTAAGGCATGTTCCCTCAGCTCTGTTTGTTTTACCACTGATATAATTCAAGCAACTGTGTTCACTGACATGTGAAGATTTCTTAGGGAGTTACAGTGATTCAAATGATAGTAGATTTTTTTTGTTCTCATCATTATTACTTCACTGCCTCTTATGTTGCTACTATAGTTGCTTGCTGCTGCTCTTTGTAATTTACACCAGTTCCTCTTAATATAACCAGGACAGCTATAAAACGTTTCTGGATGGAGAAAGTATCTTTCAGATTTTAATAAACTTTACTTTAGAGGGCATGTGACCAAAATAGCAAATTCTTGTGAATTAAATGTCAGCCTTGTGTAGAAAAAATGGCCCCATGTCATGGCACCAACAAGGGGAGGGGCATGACCTATTAAGTATAGGAAATATCAAATATAAAATAATATGAATTACAGCATATTTATAGTGAATATCCATTGTGTCAATTGAGAAGGCAAGTCTACCTTTCAGCTCCAGTCAAAGGTTTAATGATGGCTGATAACAGCTCACTAAGCATTCTTTTGGCTACCTTAGTGCTTGTAAGACTATGTTCTGTTTTTATTGTTGGATTGTTATGAAGTTGTTATTTAGGTACCCATTTATTACATTCTTTGGATCCCCACAGAAATTCTGCTAACGAGGCAAGGCAGTTGCATCACAAAGCTTGTTTTGGAAACACCATTAGTCTTCCCCTCAGCCCACAGATTTTGGTAATAAGTGTTTCTCAAAGAGCTGAACACAGCACACCAGTGGCTAATATGCCTGCTTTTGCAGCCTGTGCAGTGTCCTTTGGCAGACCACAATGTGTTGCTGATGATCTGTGTTTATTACATGTTTGATTATTCAAAAATTTGTGTGCTATGTGCATGGATGGATGGATGGATACATAGGGAGAAATTTGGGTTTTGTTAGCCAATAAATAATGGAATTGTCAAATCATCACATTTTATAGATGTTTGGAATATTACAAGAAAAACATGCTACTATAAATTCAACAGAAAACCATGACATTTAATTCATTTGCAAACAAGTTTGTGCTTTAAAGTTCCTTATAATGAAAATTCAAAGCCACTGTATTGTTAATTTACAGGCTGGAATCTTTAGCATGTATTCATGTGAAGAAGGTTTTGCCACTGGTGGTAGAGATGGTTGCATTCGTCTGTGGGACACTGATTTCAAACCAATAACTAAAATTGATCTCAGGGATACTGAGCAAGGATACAAAGGTGATAAAATATACTTTACTTAATGAGATTTGCATTTAAATAATTGAGTTTATTATTGCTTAATATAGTACCAACTATGGAGGCTTTTAGACTTTTTATAACTCCACTCTGACATGTAAAACTCTTTCTTTGAGTCTGAACAGACGAAGTCATTGCTGTGACCCTGAGGAGTTAATACAATACCTGCAAGACTTAGAATATGTATAGTACAGATTTTCCTTCGTTTTCATGATTACAGCTTACAGCACTTAACCTGTTTGCATTGTAAACTTCCACATGTGACACCAAAGCAGTATGTTGGTTTAATACTGGGTGATGCAACATCAAAAATGGAGGTAGCAAAATGATTACATGTCTGGCATATACAGTTTTTAAGATTGTAATATGTTGACAGTTCCCCACCCCCAGCCCCACTTCAAACATTCAGCAAGCAACATGGGAAGCTGACTACAGCCAGACAATTGGCTACTGAGCACTCAAGGTAGAATTTCTCCTACATTGGTCACCTCTGGTATGTTTGCCCAGTGGGCAAGTGACTGCAAATCATGGTAGCAGCTGTCTAAACAGTGTTGCTCAGCTGTGCCTAACTTCCACAATCATATCCCTCAACATCCTGACAGGAACATAATGGGAAATTTAAACGGTGGTCAGGCCCATCACCTAATGGCATCCATGCAAAAAGGGGGAAAAAATAGCCAGAATTTCAGGGCAGATATCAATGGCGGGCCTTTCTAGAGCACTTGGGCCATAAGCAGCTGCACAAGGATGCCAGGCTCCAGTGCCAGCTATGTCTGAATTATCTGACAGCAGTGCTACAGAATCCTAGGCAGAAGTTTTTTCGATTACTTGCTACCTACATTTTTAAAGTGGAGATGTCAGGGATTGGATATGGGACTTACTGATAGAAAACAAAAGGTCTGCCAGTAAGTTTTGCTCTGCCTCTTAGTTCAGTGCTAGTCCAGTGCTGGTTTTCTGAAATATATCTTGCGATGGCTGGGATATATCTTGTAATGATATATTTATTCCCATTTGGATTCAGTAATTATGATGCACAGCTAACTGCATGTGCCAGGAAGCATGGTTGCTTTGAAAAAGCTAGCCCAGCTAACTCCTGCAAAGTTTACTTCTTGAGCCTTTAAAGTAGCATGATAAAAAAATTGTGTCAGATGAATTTAGTGCATGGTGGCAAAGGCACACTGCTGTTTCTCCGCAAGCAGATGGGGTTAGAAGTCAGCCCTGTCTAGCTTTTTCCCCCTAGCAGCTGCAGCAGGCTTCAGTGTTCATGTGAAGAAGCTGTGGGTTCCAACTGGAAGCAGAACACCGAACTGGATAAATCTCTTTCCGATCTAACAGTGCACTTACATTGTGAGTTCCACATATCTCAATCAGACCAATTTTCCAGTAATGTAATCTAGGACTGACATACGAGGTTTGCTACACCATCAGCTACTGCTTAGAGATGGCTATGTCACTGCGCCATCTCAAAACATATAAAACAGCCCTATAATGAGTTAGTCCATTGACTGAACTAGTTCATTATTGTCTATTCTGACTGGCAATGGTTCTCCAAGATCTCAGAAAATCACAGACAAAGTCAAAAGGGCATCCATAATTATAAAAAGTGGGTCTTATTTCTGACTTATATATTATAACCAGAAAGCACAACAAATGATAACAGTGAAGGTGTAATAGTATACAATTGTTTTTGTCTGATACTGAATATTAACAACTGTTGTTTATAGTAGAACAGTTGCAGTTGTTAGTAAAACAACTCAAGTTGTTTGTTGGTGAAATTTCCAGATTGCATCCCATTTAATTACTTCATGAAAACCAAGTTGGAACAGAAATATTTCCCATGATGGGTAACTGAAAATACACTCTGGACTCTTGTATATGTCTCTCTTTGGACCCACTTATCTGTCGTAAATCCCCTGGCATAACTACCAAAAGAATTTCCCAATGTGGCTTATTATTCCTTCAAAAAGTATAATGGTAAATAAATGTACAAGTATTATATGTCACTCCCAATATTAAACAAAATCTTTATCATATAAAATACTTGCATAAAAGGACAAGGAAAGACTCCGTCTAGTCCAGCATTTTGTTTGCGCAGTGTTTAATGGGAAACCTGCAAGCACAGTATGAGTGCAACAGCACCCCATCCCCACTCATATTCCCCAGCAGCTGGTGTACACAGGCACATTGCCTCTGGTACTGGAAACAGTATATAGGTATCAGGATTAGTAGCCATTGATAGCCTCCTCAGTTGGTGGCCATTGCTACATCTGGTGGAAGTGACTTTGCTACGTTCAGTTTAAAGAAGTACTTCCTCTGTCCTTAATATCCCACCACTCAGCTTCCTGGAGTGGCCCCAGGTTCTAGTATTATGAGTGTTATGAGCCAGCTCCTAGTAGGCCTCTTAGTAGTCAAGTTGTCAGTTAGATTCCAGCCACTTACCTTTATTATGCAAACTATAAGCAAGAACTCATTATTTCAGACTGCAAACAAAAACAAAAAATCCAGACAAGCTTTGCATAATACAGTAGTTGCTAAGCTTCAGTTAGTTCGCTGGTTAGAAAAAGCTTTCATGAAATTGGCACTGTCTACTAGGTTGCACCAAAGTTCTATGGAATATGTCCCTCTTTAGTTCACAGGTTTCCTCTCCTGCTGAGCCTTGTTTTAGGAAGTAATCTGAGCTGAGAAGAACTCCGTGAATGCTTGCAGAACTCAGGTTGCACAGCTGGCAACCTTCTTCTGTGTCATATGCAGCACAAACAAGGGCTGCATATCATGGGCATGGATGAGGGATGCTGCTTGTGCAATGGTTGCATGAGGCTCAATTTCTGGTGAGTGTCAGATGAATGCTCAGTTTGCTTTCCAGGAAGCACATGACTCATGGCCCTGAGAAAGCAGGTCAGAGTCAGGGGAGCAAAGCGCAGGGGATTGGATGGTTTCTCACCCCCAAAAAGGATTGTTCACACATCCCTACACCCCCAAAAAGGATTGTTCACACATCCCTACTGTTTACCCTTGCTGTCCTTTTTGAGCTGAGCAGGCTAGCAAGTTATTCCCCCAAGGTGGCTCTTTCTATGGGTGCAAGTTTCTTTGAGCACTGTGTGACCTTGAGTTGCCCCTTCCTTTTATATGATGATGAAATTTTGGATCTTGTATTCCCACCTTTTTCTCTTAATTAGGAGCCTGCATTCCCACAGGTTCAGAGCATCGAGCTTTCTTGTTCTCTTGAATATTAGACAAAGCTGGATTTTCTCCTCTCTTATGCTGCTGTTCTCACTCATCTCCTGCTCCTGCAACCTTAGTGCCTTGGCAGCACCTGGCACATCCCTGTCTGTCTTAGAATGAGTTGTTGTCTTCAGTTTCCGTACGTTGGGCCCAATCCCTACAATGAGAGAGGGAGAAAAATGTTGCCCTATCCACTGCACCACATATATTATGTACCACTCAGTCATGTCTGTTCTTACATGCCTTTTTCTAAGCTAGAGTCCCAAATGTTGTAACCTTTCCTCATAAGGGAGTTGTTCCAGCCCTTGATCATTTTAGTTGCTTTATTCTGCATGTTTTCAGATTCTACAAAATGTTTTTACAATTAGGGACCAGAAATTTACAAAGTAATCTTAGTGTGGTTGCATCATAGAGTTGTATAAAGGAAGTAGGATCCTGGCAGTTTTACTTTCAGTTCCCTTTCTAATTATGTCCTATAGGGAGTTGGCTTTTTTCATGGCAACCACACCCTGGGTCAATACTTTCACTGAAGTTTCCACCACAACACCAAGATCTTTCTCTGCTAGCTCAGACCCGGTCAACTTATACCTGAAGTTGGGATTGTTTACTCAATGTGCATCACTTTATACTTGCTAACATTGAAACACATTTACTGTTTTCCTGCTCAGAGTTCTTTTTGGCATTCCTTGTTGTTTTAACTAACCAATATAATTTGATATCAGCAAATTGGCCACTTCTCTGTTTTCTCATAATTCCAGATAAATTATGAACAAATTGAAAAGCCTTGGTTCCAATACAAACCCCTGTGGGACCTAGCTGTTTACATCTCTCCACTGGGGAATTTACCATTTATTCTACTCTCTGCTTTCTATTCTTTAAGCAGTTACTGATCCATAAAAGGACCTCTGCTTTTATTCCATGACTGCTAAGTTTGCTCAAGAGTCTTTGGTGAGGGACTTTGTCAAAAGCCTTTTGGAAGCTCAAGTAAGCACTATCAACTGGATCACCCATTCTTAAAGACCCCTCAAAGGTTAGTGAGACAGGACTTAACCTTGTGGAAACAATGTCAATTCTTTTTCAACAGGGTTTGTTCTTCTGTATGCTTGAACATGGATATAGTTCCTTCATAGTTCCTTCATGGATCACTGCCTTGTTGTGGCAAGAGGGCTTGCGTAGCTCAATGAAGCTATGAGCTGTGCTGTGCAGGGCCACCCAAGACGGACAGGTCATAGCAGAGAACTCTGACAAAATGTGATCCACTGGAGAAGGAAATGGAAACCCACTCCAGTATCTTTGCCATGAAAACCCTATGGACAGTACCAAAAGGCAAAAAGATATGACGCCAGAAAATGAGCCCCTCAGGTCGGAAGGTGTCCAGTATGCTACTGGGGAAGAGTGGAGGGCTAGTATTAGTAGCGCAAGAAAGAATGAAGAGACTGGGTCAAAGCCAAAAGGACACTCAGTTGCAGATGTATCTGGTGGTGAAAAGAAAGTCCAATGCTGCAAAGATCTATACTCCATAGGAACCTGGAATGTAAGATCCATGAATCAAGGCAAGCTAGATGTGGTCAAACAAGAGATGACAAGACTGAACATGGACATCTTAGGAATCAGTGAACTAAAATGGACAGGAATGGGTGAATTTAATTCAGATGAGCATCAGGTATACTACTGCGGGCAAGAATCCCTCAGAAGAAATGGAGTAGCCTTCATAGTCAATAAAAGAGTAGGAAAAGCAGTACTGGGATACAATCTCCAAA